ATATCCAATAATCTATTTGAATATGAACTCTACTCCTTCCCCTCCTAAAATTTATCTTCCTTCACAGATGTCCAGGGCCTGCCTACATTAGATCTGGCAACCAACTCTGAAGTACCTGTCATTTCTAAAACCCCAAGGGCAATTCTGTTATGATTTAAAGACAGACAATGCTCTCCCTCTGATTCTTCTTAAACCTGATACTTTCGATTTATATCCCTGGAGAGAACAGCTCCCACAGCCAGAGAGAAACTGAGGCATGAAGGTCACGAGATAGTCAATTTGGCATCAAGAATTTATCAAGAAATTGTTTTAGATCTGGGGATGCAGCTCAGTGGTAAAATTAGTATGTGTCAGGCCCTGGGTTCAATCCTCAGCACCAACAAAAATAAATAAAAATTTAAAAATCAAGGTAACTATATTTGAGTTCAACTGACTCTCTAATACGGGAGCAATGGATAATATACACCATTTCCTAGACGTCATTTATTCTCAATTCTTGTAAATGACTAAGTGTTTACTTCTAGTGAATTTCTTCTACAGACCAGGTAACAAAGTACCTGCTCAAACCAATATGTCCCGTAAGAGAACGTATAGGAACCAGGGCCTGGTGGTATGGAAAGAGAGAAGCATACTGTGAGGCTACAATTTTCTTCCGTACTGCTGCTCACTTTTCCTCAACACCCACATTATTTCTTCATCCCCTCCTCCCCTTCTGGGGTGAAATGTGTATATACTTGCATCTGCAAGTATACATATTATGTAGACATAAACAAATGCAAATATATACACACATATAGATATGTGTATATATAATGGAATACACAGGCATAAACAAGGAATTTTCCCTCTAATAACTATCAAAGTGAGACTTGTTAGAGCTAAAAAACAAGTTATTTCCCAAAAATCTTCCTTCTAACCTGAGAGACAATTATCAGACCATAACACTGCTCAAAGAAAACATCTAAGAAGCACTTGCCCAACTGTTATGCAGCAAATATTGATAAATGAACTGATTAACCATTTCTACATCCTCAAATAATTCTAAGAATTCTAATTCTAGAATTCTAAGAATAATACATTTCTAAGATAATTACTTTTTATTATAAATTAAAATATTATAAGGAAAGAGTCAAGAAGCTATATAGCAACAGGGATAATATGTCATTCTGGAGTCTCCATATTTTTAATTCTAGTAAACCGGCAACAGGAACTGTAAAAGAAAAAATTTTTTTTGAGACAGGGTCTCATTAGGTAGTTCAGGCTGGCCTCAAACTTGTGGCAGTCTTCTTGCCTTAGCCTCCCACACACTAGGATTATAGGTGTGCAGTACCATCACCCCTGGCAGGATACATTAACTTCTAATGTCATAATCATTCCTTCCAACTCATTAGTTCTGAAACTTTAAAGATGTCAGTTAGTAGCTAAATGTTCACCTCTCTGCTTTCCCCAACCATCCTGTTCTGCCCAGCAAGGTAACACATGAAAAGGGGTTAGATTAACCTATCTGGAAACTATCTGAGACACAACAATCACTGGGAGGTCAATAAGGCACTAACCTATATAATCTCTCAACTTCTAAGACTATCAGCCTCTAGGAAATCCTAATTATGTGTGAATTGGTTTTCTTCCCTCATGTTGTAACATACAGAAAGAAATACCTATTTACTGTATATGTATGTATGATAAGAGAAATTATAATGGATAAAAGACCCTCAGAATAAGAAAACCATCTGTTAAGCTCTGGACAGAATTCAAAGAGTAGGCTATTTAATGTGAATGTAAAGGTCTCAAGTTCACACTAAGGACTTGATCTAACATCGCAAGTTTCTCCTCTTTGACAATCAGGGAAAGCAGACTCAAATAGGTGGTGTAGCAATCTCTCCCTTGACCCCTATAAAGTGTCCGGATTCCTAAGTATGTATGTCTTCCAGCTGTAGAATGGACACCCAAAAAGCCCATGTTATTTAGCCTGCTGCTGTGGTCATTGTATCTAAGCTAAAATACTTAAGGGCAAGACATTCCAAGAACTAACAAACTCCCTACCCCTACCTCAGTCCTACCCCTATACTAGAGACTGAATCCAGGGCCTTTGCACTGAGCCATATACCTAAGCCCCTTTTATTTTGAGACAGGGTCTTACTAAGTTTCCCAAATGTGACTGGAATTTGCAATCCTCCTGCCTCAGCATTGCAAAGTGCTGCAATTACAGGCAATTACACCACTGCACCCATCTGAGAAATAAACTCGTAATCCCAGCCACATTCTGGTGTTAGATCAATAAATATAAAATGTTCATTCCTAGAATGGGACACAATTCAGACTTACAGATTTAGAGTAAGGAAGAAAAAGAAAATTTATATATACTATATACATACTACTAGGCCTCTAAGCCAAGGCAGACTCCTCATGTGGCAAAACTCAAGTGGGATAAGCATTACTGTGTGCATCATTTCTATTTTTCCTCCTTGCAGTAGTTAATTTTACCTGTCATCTTGACTAGGCTACAGGATGCCCAGGTATATAGTCAAATATTATTCTGGGTGTATCTGAGGGGGTGTTCTGGAATGACATTAACATCTCAGTTACATACATGGAACAGAGCAGATTGCTGTCTGTAACACATGGGTTACAGAAAAGATGAAAAAATAACAACAAAAAAGAACAAAACGATGACTTCTTTCAAGTAAAAAGGAACTCTTCCTGCCCAAGTGCTTAAGTTGGGTCATCAGTGTTTCCTGTTTTTTGGATCAAAAGTGAGATACCAGCTCTCCTTGGGTCTCAAGACTGTTGACTTTCAAACTGCAACTTAAACCACTGACTGTGCCAGTACTCCGGCCTTAAGACTTGGACTCGAACTATACTAATTGCTCTCCTGGATCTCTAGTTGGCCCAGTGCAGATCTTAGGACATCTCATCTCATAACTGCAAGAGCCAAATCTTTATCATAAATCTCTTTTTATATCTACATATACATCATATTTCTCTAAAGAAATCTTACTCCTTAACATAAATTAACCTGGATGTCTGAGATGTTTCCCATTATGAGAAGACACACTACAAATTCATTACATGGGACAAGTCTGGGAAACAGCAAGATAAGCCACATGGCTTCTATCAGGGCCAAAAAACTGAACAAATTTTCAGATAATTTAGTCTGATACTGCTTACTATACTATACATTAAAAAGGCAGATCTCTGTCTACCACTGTATTTTCTTCCTTTATAAAACTACTAAGATCCTTTCTAGTTCTCTAGATATTCCTAAAAATGCAACTGCCTGTCCTGGCAATCTCCAGATACTGAAAGACAGATAAAATCTCCAAGGTGTCCAAAGTTTTCTCTTTTTTTAATTATTATATTTTGAAGGTGTCAAAACTTCTCTGACAGCTGATAACTGCAATGTGCTCTATTTGAAAACTGAAATGTCCTTCAATTCAACACAGCTTTTTTCCATCTAAGTAGTGGTCAAATATAATATACTTTCACATTCCCCCATCCCTCTTCACTCCCAATCCAAAACCAATGTGTATTCTCAGGTTACATTTCATGAGCTACCTACAACAAACAGATCACCCCCAAAGAAGTAATCCCTGTAGAGGTACAGTATGAGAGGTACAGTGAATGAGAAAACATCTTTTATTACCCCTGGGCCCAATCTGAATCATAGCTTCTATTAAACAACTTTTAGAGGCAAGCTATTAGTTTAGCAGACCACTCCAACTTTTTCTCTTCCCTCCCCAATTCTTTTATCCTCTATCAAAGAAAAAGGTATCTTCAATCCCCTTTCCTCAGACCCAAATCAGTGTGATAGTCAACAAAAGCCAAGGAAAGACTCTTAGCCAAGAAAGACTTACATAAGAATAGTGATCTTCTCTAAATTATAAATGCTGATATGACCACACAAATTTTGCCACTTTGTATACCTTTTTAACACACTTTTTAGTACACTAGCAGCTGTTATAGGGCTCTATTGTATCCTTTTGAGACTCTGAAGTTCCAACAACATTCTTAACATTCCTCATTTATTCAACTTTAAAACCTTCAAAAAAACACATGTTAGGCTTAAAAAGTGAGGCCTACTTCTTTCAGGTCTACTTGTTCTGGGCATAATCATTTTAATTAGTTTGACTATAAGTTTAAGCAGAACAAAGCAGATCAGAAAAGTTTCAGAGATAAAAGATGGACTTCAAAAATTAAAACAATGTAAAATTTCAATTCTTAATGAATAATGAATTACCAAAACAGTGAATTGGTTGTAGAAGTACTAATGAAGTAACCCTATTTTTATAAGGGAAATTATTTAAGGTTGCTAGAATAAAAGACAGTGAACAATGAATGAGTTGGGAATCATTTTAAAAAATCTTAGAACTAAAGATTTCAAGTATCTGTCTTTCTGTGTCTTGTTACCCTGCTCATTCCCAAAAAGGAACCAGAATTAGATGTCTTCCAACATAACACTCCCAAGATATGCTTTGTTGGTTTCTGGAGAAAGTACACACCAATGTGTATGATGACAGACCACCTGTTCCTTCCCACTTCAGTTTTGCTTTAACTTACTGTATGAGATTGAGACAAAACAAAGTCTATCAATCTCAGATTCCTGAATTAGTCATATCTTACTTCATTGCTTATGTGGACAAAAGTAGATGCTTTTACACAATTAAGACAAAAGGACTTTATATCATCAGGATTTTATCTTTTTGAGATAGGGTCTCACTATCTAGTTCAGGCTGGCCTTGAGCTCACTTTGTAGCCCAGGCTGGTCTCGAACTCACAATGATCCTCCTGCCTCCTGTCTCCTGCCTCAGCCTCCCTCAGCCTCCCTCAGCCTCCTGAGTGCTGGAATTACAGGCGTGCACCACTACACGCGGCCTAATCAGGATTTTAGTGTTCTGGTTCCTCTGAATTTACTGCAAAATACACTAATGATGAGACAAAGGTTGGAGAAGGAGGCGGAAACATCCACTACAGGGCCACATGACATATAGCAAGACCCTAGCTAGACTTCAAAGAACTCATTTTATTGAGACAGAGGGAAACCCATATGCTGTACTTAAGTTTCACACTTATAAAATTATCACTCTGAATTCAGGAATAAGAGGAATTTGGTTGTAGATACAATTCTTTTTGTAGATACTAACTTTAAATTTAGAGAAGAAAAACACTCATTGCATTAATATTATAGGTTGGGGTTTCTTATGTGATTCCTAAATCCATCTACTATTTTTTTGTTTTGATACAATTTACATCTATGGTAAGAAGACTATCTCCAACAGCCCTGGTTCAGGTGTGGTCTTTAGTTTCAGAAAGTCCATCGGTCATGTAGCTGGCTGTCATATCTGTTGCTTGCAGAAGCTCCAGAGCTCTGGGTTTGCCGAGTAGAGTCCTCACCATTTAAGCTCTTCCTACATACAGGACATGTGTCATGCTGAAACAGAAAGAGAGCACCCATGTGAACACGCTGACCTGAGAAGCTAGCGGTACTGAATGTATAAGAAACTCTAGAAGTTAACACATCCAAAACTATGATATGACAATTAGACTAAAATGTCATGCATTCCTACATAATACATACTGGGCTCCCAAACTGAACTTAAGCAAAACAGACAGAAAGAATTCCAGGGCAACAAATTAACAACTAACACATATTACCAAACAAAACCAATTTGAAACAGCAATCTGAGATTGGACAGGTGGCTAACTGCCCATCACTTTTCCATGTGGTCAAGAGGAGTGAACAAATTTTTTTCTTTAAAAAGACAGGAAGTAAATATTTTAGGCTTTGAAGACTATACCAACTCTGTTGCAATTACTCAATTTTGTCTATGTAACACAAAAATATCCATGTATAATTTATAAACAAATGAGCATGGCTACGTTCTAATAAAATTTGATTTACAAAAACAGATGGCAGGCCACTGTAGCCAGTGGGCCATCATTGCCAACCACCGGTCAGAAAAGTTCTGAAGATATAGTAATCTAATGAAAGAGTGATGGTGGCAGCCAAAATTTGCCAGGAATTTGAGACTAAAAATCTGATGTTTTGCTGTCTATGAACTGGTAACTACATTTTTACTCTGAACCAACTCCCCCAATCCCTAAAGATGTGACTTGCACAGCTGCCTCATCACAGATCACAACTGGCTTCTACTCACCAGTTCTAACCATGGCACAATACAACTGCTGTGGAAGAAGTGATTGCAGGGTAACTGCCGGACCTCCTCTTCAACTGTGTAATCGTCTTTACATACTGGACATTCTAAACCCATCTCTGTTAGAGGAACAAATGCCTTTTAAAGTAAACAAGCAGAATGAAGGACAATAAAACTAACCAAATATCTAATAATCTAAGGAACATATAAAGACCAAAGACAAAAGAAGTTGCATCCAAGTGGGAGGCAGAAAAAATGCAAGAATTTTACTTCAAAACAGTACAAGTAGTAAAAGATAGCGACATGAAAAACAGAAATGATGAATGGGGCCTACTCCAATAAGGCCTAGACAAGAACCATATGATAGCCTATATTCTAATGTAAAATGTTGAAAGGAAGACACTGAGGCGTATCTGTTAAGTAAAATAAGAAAAACATCTTCCTGTATGTGTGGAAGCCTTCTGGCAGTCAGTTTCTGCACAGAAGACAGTGACAACTTGTATACCACAACCAAGGGACTCATTTCAGCAATCTCAGCTGCTTCCAGTCAGTATTTCAAGCTACTTTTTCCCAGCTCTTTTACATATCATGCATCCTCTGAGTGCGACTGTCCTAGTCTTCTGTAGAAGTTGCTAACTAAAAGTTCTACCAGGAGGTGGTGCTACAGCATTGTGGCACCACCAGTACAGTTCAGGCCTTCAAATAAAGCCAGGAGCCTTCTTTCCTTAGAGGAAATGGTCAGAAACTACACTGGGAATTCCAAGCAGCAAATTCTGAGTTTTCCAAGTTTGGCAAAAAAATACCAGCTCGTGTACATCTCTACTCACTGGGGCATGTTCCATGCTCCCAAAGTGGTCAAGGCATTTGGACCACAACTATCACTTAATAGATTCACTCCTTTCTTTTTATTTCAACAACTTCACCCTAATTCCAACTTCTACTTCTCATGCCAAGTCTACTAGAAGTGCCTATTGGGCAGTATTTCCATTTCCAGGCCTTTAACCCTCCATATATATCTTACACTTTGTTACCAGCTAGTTTTCCCTGATGCTACCTTTTCAGCTCATCTTCACCTGGATTCTCAGCTGGCACTTCAAAATCAACAAATTCAAAATTAAAACCATCATATCATCATCTTACCCAAACCTAGGCCTACTCACTATCTCTGTACCCCATGATGGCAGCACCATCTTTCTTTTTTTTTGGTGTTTCTGAGACAGGGTCTCCCTGTGCAGTTCAGGCTGGCCTTGAGCTCACTTTGTAGCCCAGGCTGATCTCGAACTCACAACGATCCTCCTGCCTCAGCCTCCCAAGTGCTGGGATTACAGGCGTGCATCACCACACCCGGCAGCCACCTTTTGTGATATAAAGTTGTGAAATCTTACAATCACCTTTCATTTTCCCTCTCCTTTATCCCATTATGCAATCGGTGATAAAAAGCCTTTCTTCAAAATGAACTTCTAAATCAACCCTTTCCTGTCTGTGAGCACTGCCATCATTACCAGAACCACAACTAGACTGTTCCAACAGCCTCTTTAAACCTCTGCTCTGCTGTCTCTCATATCTGCTCTATTTTACACACTACCTCCAGGATAATCTTCCTAAAGAGCCTTGAATTCCCTCATTCTTCATTTTAAGGCATGCAAAACTTACCTACTATCTAAAACATCCAGCCCTAACTTTTCAACAACGTCCACCCTTTTTCTCTCGTCATCTGCCCCATTAGTCCTCAAATCAGATTCTATTTGAGATCTAATAAGGTCATTCTTCTGTATCTGACTTAAACATCATATCTGTATTTTATTTTTAAACTAGTTTATACTAGGGCTAGGTGTGGTGGCATACGCCTGTAATCCTTGCATTAGACAGGCTGAGCAGGAGGATCAATGTGAGTTCCAGGCCAACCTGAACTACACAGCAAGATCCTGTCTCCTTGTAAAAAAAAAATTAGTTCATACTTTTTCTTAAGCAAAATTATCTAAGATGACTCATCTTGCCTTTAAACCTTTGACTGTACACCTAAATGGAGAATGAAACTCTCAGCTCAAAATCATGTCCCTTATCACTAAATTCCTTCAGTGCCTATTCCCAGTCTCTCATTTATTCTCTTCCTCTTTCCCCAAGGTCAGTTTCACCTGTCCAACATTATTCCAAAATTTTAAACCATTTGATGAGTGTTGCTTCCACTAATAAGTTCTTCAACTAGTTAGAATCAAGTCTTACACATTTTTGTATCTCTTTATTTCCAACAGTACCTGAAAAGGGACTTGATAATGGCTCAGGAAATACTTGTTGATTAATCTCATGAAGGGACAGGTACCTTGCACACATGGTACCCACTACAGCTTCATTTTAATGTATCCAGTATGAGAAGGTACTGGAATTTTGAATAGATACCATAAGGTGACAAAATAAATATGAAAATAAACCTACCAACTTGTTCCTGAGTTACTGTCACTGTTGGAAGAGAAGTGATTTTTTCCTTGTCAGCTGGGGGAGGCCCTGTGTTTTCCAGTTGTCCTAAAAGCTACAAGAAAAGAAAAAGAAAAAGAAATGGCAGACATCTCAATATCCCTGGAAAGGGAGCTGCTCCAGCTGAGAATAAACATAGCAGATATTAGAAATGTTAGTTGTTCTTACTTCTGCCAAGGCTCCAAGAGGCTTAGGATTCCCCTTCCCTGCTATTAGAACACTTAAAATTCCTTTACAATTTCAGAGTGACATTAGTGTCAGTCTATAGACAGACCCATGATTGTAAGGCTCAGCTTTGGGGATAAAGCAACTTCGTGGTGGTAAAGAGTTGTAATGCCATGAATAAAACCATAGCTTTGTAAAAAGTAATACGTAACTGGTACAAAAATTTCTTTCTGCGAGAGGAAGACAATGGTGGGCATATGGAGAATAGCATAGGATAAGTCAAGAAACAGTTAATTACTGCCTATAAAAAGTTAGATATAAATGACATGCTTTCTGTGCTCAACAATCTACAAGGAGAATGAAAAACCAATCAAATTAAAATAAACATAAGCAAGTAGAAATTATACATGGCATGAGAGTACCTTTTTCTCTGCTTCCTTCCCCTACTTTGCTCCATCTAGCAGAAATCCCCGCTTGAACATGTGAGACCCTCTTTTTTGTGAAGTACTTATTTACAGGATCCTCACAGGACTGAACCAAAGGGCCAAAATACAATATACTGCTTCTTACAGGAGAAGTCTTGATTTTTCTCTGAAGGAGAAACATGTTCTGGAAATCCCCTTGGACATAGTCGATACATGGATGCTAAACTAAACCCATAAACCATTTACCTCTTTAGTAAAATAGAAACCCAAAAGCTCAAAACATTAGAGAAAGCAGAGTGACTGCAATTTCAAGAAAGTAGCAGAAGGAAAGCAGGAAGCCTGTGGAACCATGAGACACACTGAACAGACACCCTCAAAAGGCAGCTCCTCACCTGGGTTACAATGGCATCAAGCCCTGTCTGACCCCAGGCATAGTCCCCAGGGTTGGAGTGCAGCATCCCGCTCCTATACGTGAGATGAGATAGACAGTATTAGATGGAGTGCCCAGGCTCTGCCTTATATTACAGAGAAAGTTGGCAGAGGGTTCCTGTTCTCTCTTGAAGCTCGAAAGTCATTAGACTCAAGAGGCAAAGAATTTCTCTATTTTCAAGGTCAAACATTATCTAGAGATAGCTTCTCATTCTCTATGAATTTTACTTAAGCTGAACATAAAATGTGAAGTTACCTAAAAAAAAAAAAATCACATGACCTACAAGAGGAAAAAGACTGACTTGTTGCCTGTTGGTTAAGAAAAGTTTCTTTTCTCTGTTTAAATCAAACATAAATGGAGCTGCTTTTTAAGGAAGAGTTTTTCCTTCAGGGCTGGCCAAAATCTACAGCAAACTTCCCTCATTCAAAGAGGGTGCCCCATGGTCCTGGACAATGAGAAACTTTCTAGTAGAGAAGTAACCACAGCAGTCTCTCCAAATCACAACTCAAAGCAATTACAAAAAGAAATCTAGCATCATCTTTTTCTTGATGCTGCTAGTGGCACTACCCTGGATGATGGAGGTCCAGTTTCTGGTTCAAACCCAAAAGAAACAGAGGCTGGGAAATGGGTAAGTGTGGGGAAGGATTGAGGTCCCTCTGAGTAAAGAAGCCTTGCGAAGCGGCAAATAATTGAACAGACAAGAAGAAATTCCATCTTTAAACCCTATTCTACTTAAGCATCACTCTGATACTGAGTTATAGCTTTTGCTTCTTCTGAAAAACCTTACTTTGGAAAAAGAGTAAGTATGTTGTTTTCAACTTCTAAAATTGTTTGCTATGGTGGGAATCAAACCTAGGGCCTTGTGCATGCTAGGCAAGCCATCTACCATTGAGTTACAGACCCCCAGCCCTCCACATCAGAAAAGTTTAAGCAATAAAATCTTCCTATATGGTCTAAATGAGAAACTCACAAATTAGATACCAAGCCTAGCAGGGACTTTCTCATTTCCTGCCTCAACACAACACTCAGACCATAATATAAAGGGGAGGGGCAGTCCTCCAAAGCCTGAATAATAATGAAGAAAGTTCTGATTAACTTTGAGCTCAGCAAACAATGGCAGTCTAACAAGTTTCCAGTCATATCCACATACTCACCTACCCAGGTTTTCTCTATAGCACAGAAATGATAGCACCCAAAATGATGCTACTCTGGCAGAGTAAGGAAGGTAGCAATTAGTTACTTACCAAGAAAAAGGGTGTGAGGATCCAGGAATTGCAGAATTTGCAAAGAATCCTGCGAAGATCTGTTGTATTATTCTGTTTGAGGAGAAAAAAATTAGGTAAGACAACAAAAGAGCTGGCATGTCTGTAATGCCAGCATGCTGGAGGACGTTGAGGATCTTACAAGTCTGAGACCAGCCTGGGCTACAAAGTGAGCTCAAGGCCAGCCTGAATTGCAAAGGGAGACCCTATCTCAAAAAAAAAAAAAAAAAAAACAACAAAAGAAAGCACAGATACCCATGGCATCAACTACTTCCCCAACCACAATGGCTTTTCACTGACTATTACACAAGAGAGAGCACCAGAAATCAGTCTACTACCTAGTGCTGTGAGACTGTGCTATTATCTTTATCTGTGAGCTTTGTCATAGTATGGATTAAAAATTTTTTGTGAATTAGGCTGGAAAAGAATCTGATATTACAGTATATTTTTCAAATTAGGTTCCTCAGATCTCTGGCACAATATAAGGAAAGCTTAAAAGGGATGCTGAGCAAGTAGGATTCTAAACTAGATTTTTGTATAGCACTTATGGAACCTTTTTTTGTAAGTACGAGAATAATTCTATTTTAAAGGCGTTTCAGATGACTATAACACACACATACATTTGCTTGGCACTTCTCATTCTGAACACTTAAGATGGCAGATGTACCCATTTCTTTATCCTTATGAGTTGGGTCTTTGTTACCTTTTAAAGAGATATTGGGTTGATGCATTTCCTGTGTTCTGAATGATATACACTTGTAACTCCCTGGTTTCTACTTTATTAGGTCAATCAATGTATCTGTAACAGTATTAGACTTTCCCTGCTACTAAAGTTCAACAACAGTTAAGTATATTATTTTCTCTGTGGTTTTTGTTGTTTTTCTTTTTTGTATTGTGGTTTTACTGCTTATTTTTTAATTGACAGTTAAAAACACATATCTGTGGTTATAAAAGATAATGTTTGGACATATGCACACATTGTGGAATGACTAAATAAAACTTACAAACGATGCATTACCTTGTATACCTATTTGTAATGAAAATACTTCAAATCTGTCCTTGAAGCAAATTTTTTCAAACAGTACTGGTGACTGACCCCACAGCCGTCACACTGCGCTTCATCCTCAGCTCTTTTTGGGGGGTAGGGGGAAAGACAGGGTTTTGCTAAGTTAGTTAGGTTGGGCTTGAACCTGTGATACTCCTGCCTTAACCACCCACAGGGCTGGGATTATAGGTGCATATTACCATGCCCAGCTCTCCTAGCAATTTTCAATTAACTACCATCACCATAATGTACAATAGATTTCTTGGAGCTATCTTCCAAACTGAAATATTATGTTCTTTGACCAATATTTCCTCAATTCATCCTCGCAGATTTAGCCCTTGCTAAACACTATTCTGTTCTCTTCTTCTATGAGTTTGGTTTTTTAAAAAAAAAAAAAATTCCTGTTTTAAATATGTCCAAAAATTATTTGATAATCTTCCCTTGAGTGTAAGGTGGATTTAGTGACTCACTTCTTAACAAGGGAATATAGCAGACACAATAATGTGTGACATCCAAAACAAGACCAAAAAAAGCGCTGTGGCTTCCTTCTTATACTTCTCTTAGATTGCCTGCTCTAGGGCCAGAGATATAGCTCATGGGCACAAGCGCCTGCCTGCCAAGCGCAAGGTCCTGAGTTTGATCCCCAGTACCAAAAAAAAAAAAAAAGAGTGATTATCTGCTCTAGGAAAGCACCACTGTCAAGCAGTTTTATGAAAAGGTCCATGTGATAAAGAACTAAGGCCTCTTGCCCAAAGCTTGAACAAACTCGCCAGAACATGACCACTGCAATGGCCAACATCTTGACTCTTGAGGACCTTGAACCAGAGCCACCTAGCTAAACTACTCCTAAATTCCTGACCCACTGAATTTGTGAGATAAATGCTTGCTTTTTAAACTCAGTAAGTTTTGCGATAATTTGTTATACAGTAATAATTAACTACGATAGATTTGGATACTGGGAAGTGGGCACTGCCATAATAAAAACCTAGGCTCAGGTATATAACTCAGCGTCACAGCACTTGCCTGGCAACCACAAGGTCCTGAGTTCAATTCCCAGTACGAAAAAACCCCTATAACCTAAAATGTGGACTATCTCTAGAACCCAGCAGCAGGCATAAGGTAGAAAGAGTGAGGAAAGCACCAGAGAACATTTGAAGAACCCTGAAGAAACAGTTATGAGGCCCAGTGTGGTGGTGCACACCTGTACATCCCAAATATTAAAGAAGCTGAGGCAGAAGGATTACAAGTTTGAAGCCAACCTGGACAACTTAGTGAGACTCTACCTCAAAATAAAATTTAAAAGGTGCTGGGGATGTAGCTCAATGTTACAGTACTTACTTAGCATGCTCCAGACCCTGGGTTTAACACCCAGCACTGTAAAATATAACACTTCAAGGGTATAAGGACACAGCTTACTGGTAGAGCACTTGCCTAGCGTGTGTGAGACTTTGGGTTCAATCCCCAGTATCTCCCCCCAAAAAACCAAAATACAACAACCACAACCACAAACAACAGAAACACAATGGCCTTCGAGGAAGTTATGGATGAGAGCTTAAGCAAATGCTGGGAGAATCTTAAATGGAAACTAGAAGGACAAAGATCCTTACTATGTACCCACAAAAGCCGCTGCATGCCTTCTACATGGACTGTAGAAGCAGAGACTCAAGCTGGAAGATGATCTAGCTAAAGAGATTTTCCATACTAAAAACTGTATTTTCCATACAATAACAATAACAAAAACAAAAAAACAGTGTCCATAGAGTTGGTTTCTTCTAGACCCTCTCAGGAAAATCTATTCCATATCTTTCTTAACTTCAGCAATCCTTGTTATTTCTTGGTTTACTGACCCAGTGCCCCAACCCTTGCCTCTTGGCTTCTTGCTGCTTATGATAACTAAGAAGAGGAGAGGGACAAATTAAAGGAAAGATAGTTAAAAAGAATTAAAAGTGTATAATGCTTAGGAATTCCTAATGGCAAGACTCTCAATAAGATCCACAAGATACTCAACATTTGGAGAGGGGAAAAAAAGGACTTCTGGGAAGGTGGCAGAGCAGTAAGTAGCAGTGTGTCAGCCTCTGAGATCCAGGCACTGGTATATAACAACTTGCAGAAGAAAAGGATGGAGGTGGATCCCTGGGACCCAGGAAGGATCTGAAAGAGAACTGGAGCTCATGGGGAAAGTGAGGAGACAGACCTCAAGGCAGAAAGAGAAGAGGGCAAACTGCACTTTCTCCCTGATTCCTGGCTCACAGTGTGAGAAAAGAGACTCAAACCTACAGGCACAGTGAAGGTGGGTGACCCCAGAGGCCTCCACAGCAGGTGACTCCGGAGGACTCCACAGAAAAATGCACCAGTGGAACACAGCAGTAAATGCAGTAAACTACAACAGCCAGTGGGTGACTTCAGTCCAAGAGTCCCCTGGAGAGAGGGAGCTTGCCCAGGTGCCATTTTAGCGAGGGGCCAGTTGAACCTGGGACTCAGGGCAGGCTTGGGTTGGTTTCCTCTCAGGGTCCCGATCAACTGGGTGAGGCACAACCACAGGAGACATCCAGGGTCAAGGAGTGAAGGTCAGAGGCACCCAGAGTGTTGTAGGCTGAACTCAGTTCCCAACCCCACAATCAAGAGGCCAGGATCAGCCTGAACTTCTGTGGAGTTGAAAGCAACAGAATTGGCACCCTGTCCTATTCCTATTGCAGGCCTGCTGGGATTACCTAGTATCCTGCCCTAATCCTACTTCAGGTTTGTTGGAATCATATAGGATGGATCAGGGCTCTGTTTCCTTTGTGTACCAGAGGCAGTGGAGACACACCTGGAACTAGACACTACCACGAACTGTAGCCCCCAGAACATAACCAAAGGCCTGAAATCAAAGAGAAATCCTTTTTTCCCTTGCTTATTTTTATTTTTGTTCTCTTTCTTTTTTTTCTCTTGTTTTTGTTTTTTCATGAGTGTGAACATTGTTTTTAGTTTGTTTGTTTTGGTTACATTTAGTTCTTTTTGCCTTTTCCTTATTTCCTTCCTGTTTTCTTCACCAGTTTCCCAAAGCTTGACTAAATTTTCCTTTGTTCTTCAGCCTTGATTCTAACCTCTTTCTCTTCTATTATTTCTCTATATTTTCCTCTTAAGCCTCTTAAATTTTTTTCCCCAAGGGTAAAATTGCTCTATTGAAGGGATATTTACTGTATATAATTTTTAAATTTGGTTTAGATCTTGTTGTAACTATAAATCCTGTACCTGTGGTTTAAGGTGGCAAATCAACAGTTCCCAATTTGTCATTCTCTAGACTGTACTTGATGCTATTGTTATTACTTCCTGTTACTACTTTAGCCAAGGTGACATAGTTGTTGTTCTTTATATACCAATATTGAGATTGTCTGGGGGTCATAAACAATACCACAGTCCAGTACCAAAGAACTTGGTGCTAGGCCAAATTGGCAGCAACTTCTCATCCTAATAAATTGAAGAGGCAGGATCTTGGGACAGACTCAAAAGCCAAAAGCCAGCTACACCTAGAAGACATCTCTGAAAAGTAATTACTTCCTAAAAAGGTCTCAATACTAGTAACAAAGCTACCTACCATAAGCAATTTACAATCAACACAGAAAACACATTTTTAAAAATAGAAAATGAGAAGACAAGAAACGAGATGAAACCCCAGACCCAAGGCAATCCAGAGCATTGAGGTGGAAGAAATCAAAAGCCACCCAACCTAAACTTTCTTAAATGGTAGCAGCATAAGTAACAAAGGAAATAAATGAGGCTCTAGAAAGAAACAAATAAGAAATAGTTCCACAGATAACAAAAGAGATAATGACCATAATGAAGAACATGGTTAGAGAATCTAAAGTAATACAGATTTAATAACAAAATAAAACCAAAAACCAAAAAACAGAGGAGCTTAAGAAAGTGATGGAAAACCATGAATCCCCAACATAGGAAAGATTTGGATTACATGAAACAGATTCAAACAGTTATCCAAGAAATTTAAAATTCTATTGAAAGTATATGC